ACATGGATACATACATATGTCAATACATTTATGATATATGATATATGATATATGACAATATATATATATATAAATATACATATACATATACATATATACATATATATATATACATACATATATATAGAACACACACGCACACACGCATACACACACACACACACACACGCACGAACATACACACACACTCTCGAACATACACACACACATATATATATATATAGATATATATATATATAAACATATATATATACATACATACAAATAAATAAGAATATAAACATATACATCTTGTACATATACATATACGTACAAATTTGTATACAAATCGAATACGACCCATACCTTATCAAAGTTGCCAGCACCCGCTGGACTCAATTCGGGGAATGTAAGCAGTGCGACATGCGGAAATGAGGTGCCGATGAAGCTACCGTCGACTAAATCGTTTTTGATCTTCGTGTTGTATATGTCTTTACAATTCGGGCAGAATGATTTGGCCATTCCTTTCCCGTAATTATCACTCATGCCTGAAAATCAAAATCCGAACAGAAAGACAAGCGCTCGAAGTCAGTTTGCGCAAGAGAGTGACCAGCAGATCAACATGACTCATAGACACTTGCCATGAACCGTTGTATGCCTTGAATTCCGCTCGGTTATATTTTGCAGTGAATAGAATCGCAACAAATTAAAATCAGAACTCGGGAGGTTTATATACATCTTCGATTTGCACACTAATTCTTAGGTTGGCAGATGAAATTTGAACTATATTCCTGCCTTATAGGGTAGCCAGAATCCGACAGGCGATGATCGTACATACATGCAACCATACATACATACGTGCATATATACATACACACATATATATATATAAATATATATATATACATTTAGACAAAGACAAAAATAATAGATATATGCATATATATATATATATATATATATGCATACATGCATACATACATACATACATACATACAAACATACATACATACATACATAAATACATACACACACATATATATATATATATATATTATCTTGCACAATTGTGCTTATGGTACCAACAGTGAGTGGTAGAACGGTGTTCTTGTTCCATATCGCGTTTCCTGTATATTTCGTGCTTGTACATGTGCATAAATGGTTATGCGGCAGACCAGCAGAATCTGCACGAGATATATTAATAAACCCATAAACTCACCGACTGGTAGCATGTTTATCCGTTCACACATCACCCTAGGACATTGTCCGAAGTCTCCATTGTTATATTTCTCTACCTGCAACGTTTAAAATAAAAGACATCAGAAGTGACAGTCAGTGTGAGCGGTAAAAGTAAGACGCATAGGAGTGAGAGACTACGGTGACAATCTATCCGTTACGAGATTCCTAAGATATCGAGCAAGTCTTAACCAGAATATGTGCACAACAATAATATAGGTTCGTCGAGCACATCACGCTTGAACCTGGGCGGGTAATAGTATTCAAAGAAGGGGCCGGGAAATAGGCTAAGCACTGGCATCTACGATAACAACAAAGGTTATATTCATCGATCTGCACCTGTGGTCTTGCGTACATGAAGCTGAGAGCGGCACGGCACGAACAGGTTGACAGGCGAAGAGTCGTGTGCATGTACAAGGGATTAACTATGAAACGATTCTTTCGTAAGTTGAGTACATGCTGTCGTGGTACTGATAAGGATATCAAGACCGCAGTACACGACTGTTCACCGACAGATGGTTGGTAGTTACTGTATGTGTACACTGTGCTTGGTAAGTGTGTGTATGTACGTGGCGTGTGTCATCCTACTAACTCCGTATAGTGATAAACGCTTGGAATATAAGACGCATTCAGGAAATATATAGAGACAATATATATAGGAGGGAAAATACACGTCCATCTGCATATAGCTGTATATGATGTCATTGCATTAACTTACAAATTAGTTCGTATAGATATAAACCTACAGCAGAGATAGCCGCACATGTATATTGGGAGTATTTGGGTATCAACACAATCCCCCCCCCCCCACACACTAAATTTGCAACCATCGATAACCTTTGGAACTGTACTTTGAGAAATTTAACACGAATACGAAGCAGGCATCATCTAGCAGAGGAATATATCAACAGCAGCCTGGCTCGTCTTCTAGTGACTTACCATCCTCGCAAGCCCCCGGGGACTAACTATAAATCTGGCATGTATCAACCCGTACAGCTTTTGCGCCTCTTTCTCTAGTTCATCCTCCGACGATTCATCAGATCCATCTGGGACAATAAAATAGATGTTGAATTTGTAAGAGTAGCGTCGGAAGAGATCAAGAAAAGACAGAGCCCACTTATGAACAAACAACTAGGTACAGTCGCATTGTCCCCGTGCAGTAATCGCAGTAGGTTGTAGAATACCAGCTGGTACGCTTTGAAGACCGAACGAGCTTAGTTGGAAGTGCCTTATATACAACGCTCCCACATCACCGAAACGAAGCGTAAACGTTCACATACCGAACTCTATGTCTAAAATTATATCCAGAGCCCTTCGCATATGCCTCACTTCGTTTTGCAGCCCGGTCAAGTTAAAATTGTCCTGTATGAAACTCTCGCTGCGTGATACGTAGCGAATAAACAATATGAGAAACATTAGTTAGAGTACCTTAGTTTTGAAATGATTCCTATACATAAATAGATACATACATACAAACACGCACACGAGCACAAACACGCACACGAGCACGCACACGCACACGAACACGCACACGCACATACACACACACACATGCAAACATGCACACGAGCACAAACACGCACACGAGCACAAACACGCACACGAGCACGCACACGCACACGAACACGCACACGCACATACACACACACACATGCAAAAACTCACACACGCATATATTTATATATATATATATATAAAGATACTTATATACATACATACATATATACAAACATACACACACAGACACACACAGACACATTTATT